TATAGCACAACTTACATCACAACTTACATAACAACTTATAGCACAACTTACATCACAACTTACATCACAACATACACCACAGTTTAATCACAATTTACACCACAATTTACACAACAACTTGCATCACAACTTACATCACAACTTATATCACATATTATATCACACCTTACATCACAACTTACATCACAACTAACAACACAACTTACACCACAACCTACATCAAAACTTACATCACAACTACACCACAATTTACATCAGAACTTACATCACAACTTACACCACAACTTACATCACAATTTACACCGCAATTTACACAACATTTTACACCACAAGTTACATAACAATGAACAAAGCGTGTGTTCTATTTATCTAAACCGTAAGAAACACAGCAACAAACAAACGAATGACATTATAAAACACATTTCCACTTACCTGTACAGCTGCAGCTCTTGAAGAAAATTACATCACAGCCTGCATTGTTCTTAGTCACAAAATTTTATAACACAGTCTGAACTATTCTTAGTCACAAAATTAATCAAATTAATTTGATTTGGTTAAAGTAATCGAGGAAAAATGTCTATTTTGATTGTTAAAATTTGTAATCCTTACTTTAAAAATAATTTTAAAATTCACAATTTGGCCACATATTTGTTTTTATTTTTAAAAAAATAAATCGACCAACTAGAATTGAATCGGCTAGCTGGTCCCACGTGTATCTGGCAAGTATTTCGTCTCTTGAGGTGGGATTCTGAACTTCACACGTCTTGACAAACTGCTCGCAATGAAGAGATCGACCAAAACAATCGAGCACTCACTCACTCTCTCCCTGCTACGTTACTGCCCCTCATTCTCTGGCACCAGCCCTCCCCCTCCCCGTCCTGTTCTCTACATAATGTGTTATAGACTTGTTTGCATCACGTATCACAAACGTGAGATTATATAATACTCTAGTTATATTGTGTGCGACAACATTCTAATTCTTAATCAGTGAAAATATGTGAAGATATAGTAACGTTTAATGATTATTTGACATTTTGCAGCAATCTATCTCTATTTAGTGAAGAATAGATTTCAATTTAGAAGCACGGAACTTTGTAACTAAAACTATAAACTACAAATTTTATATACTGCAAATTATAAACTAAACATTGAGCAGCTTCTTATGTTTTTAAAGACACCATATTTTTTTTACAATGACCCGTTTTTCAATAATCAAGTAGAGGTCACGTAGGGGTATCGAATTGTTTAGTCTGTCCCATGTCCTAAAAAGACTTGTTCAATATATTTCACGTAAAACAAAGCTCTTGTCAAATAAATAATGTGTCAAGCAGAAGACAGGTTTAACAGAAAATATACTCAACAGAAGATTGGACGGCGTGGTCTGACGGTAGAGTGCACGACCACTAACCCGAGTGTCTAGTGTTCGGAACCTGGGTTTAAATTTTTAGAACGTTCCTGAATTCACCAGGCTCTTATGTGTACTAAAAGAATCACAGTAGTGACTCTGTCACAATAATGTTAAATAAACCTACATAGTCACAATAATATTACGTAAACCTACCTAGTCACAATAATGTTACATAAACTGACCTAGTTACAATAATGTTACATAAACTGACCTAGTTACAATAATGTTATGTAAACCTACCTGGTTACAATAATGTTACTTAAAGGGGAGTTCATGTGTTAACAAATACAGAACAAATGTTCATGTTGACTGTGGAGAAATTATTCACGCTTCGATATTTCTGTCGGAGCGTCACAACAACTGTCTTTGTAATATTTATATCTGACATTTTACGGTATTTGGGCGACGCCTTTGCATTTTGCCCGGGGATGACACCCCCTTTCTTATGATGCCATGGATTAAAACATATATATACCGCCTACATACATTCTACGTTTAGCTGCAATGTGGAAGTTTAACTCTGTAATTATCTTAACCATTTTAGATGGAGAACATAGATAATTTTGACGTTAGGTAAATATTATCAACGCTTTAAAACTATCGATGACAAACGCCACCTGTTGGCCAAGAGGAATAACCCAGCTAGTACAGGATAACCCTCCAGGTCTCACTAGGTAAACAATCCCCTAGTGATGACTGGTTCAATGAGTGGAGTAAAGATAGGTTGATGTCAAGCATGGGGTCTCAATCTGGGGTCAGTGGAACATTAGGGTCACTGTAAGATGGTCTCAATCAGTGGAACATTAGGGTCACTGTAAGATGGTCTCAATCAGTGGAACATTAGGGTCACTGTAAGATGGTCTCAATCAGTGGAACATTAGGGTCATTGTAAGATGGTCTCAATCAGTGGAACATTAGGGTCACTGTAAGATGGTCTCAATCAGTGGAACATTAAGGCCATTGTAAGATGGTCTCAATCAGTGGAACATTAGGGTCACTGTAAGATGGTCTCAATCAGTGGAACATTAGGGTCATTGTAAGATGGTCTCAATCAGTGGAACATTAGGGTCATTGTAAGATGGATATCAAGCAGGGGGTCTCAAACTGGGGTCAGTGGAACATTAGGGTCACTGTAAGGTGTATATCAAGCAGGGGTTCTCAATATGGGGTCAGTGGAACATTAGGGTCAGTCACTATAAAATGGCAAGGGGTTTCAGTATGGGGTCAGTTGAACATTAGAATCTGTCAATATAATATGAATATCCGCAGTAATTTTTATCTAGGTTGTAGGGGGCTTGTTTTTAGTGCAAAGGCGTTTATAAAAGAATGCAATCCGACGTTGTGTCTTGACCCATGACACATCGTACACCAAAGGTCTATTCAATTGTCTCAAATTCAGTTCTTATAAATCCGTCACTATCTACCTGCCTTCACCTTTATGTACCTTACCCCTAATTACATTGACCCGGATGCTGTCCACATAATTAGATCCTCTAATACCCTGTAGTCCAATTCTCTTCACTTGACCTGTGCTGCAAACTGACGTCTATACTCTACAATTTAAGGGGAAAAAAACACAACTTGAACCACACGCACTGACCATTCTACGGACACCACTCCCAATGGAATTTTAATGTCATTTAAAGAATGGATTCAAAAGCTGGTGTATTTCTATCGCAAGTCTGTTGGCTCAATAGCAAGACCAGGCTTTAAGGTGTAGGTTTTCTTGCTTCGTCAAGGCGATTTGTAGATATCTATAATGGAATTAAGGGGGGGGGGGGGGGGAGATAACTAGGGATCGTTTTGTTCCTGGAGTTATTTATTATTTCTTAAAATATACAATGCAGTACTCTGCGTTACAATTCAAACAGGCCACTAAGCCCTGCAGATAAAAATAATTTCCTCTAATATCAGTAAACCAACATCAAAACTTGTTGGACGATAGTCATAACAGCAATATTTAAATCTGAAAATCATTTCGTTTCCCTCTCTAGTAACCTGCTTCTCTTATTCTAGGCCTATATTCTGTTTTTCTTTGGCTGTTCCCCTTTGGAGTTACAGCAAGACTAGCTTAGCCAATCGTTGTTTAGGGCGGATTTAAAACAGACTACTAAAACTTGTAGTAAAAGTGACCAATATTTCATAACATTTGGGTCCCTTTTAGGAAATTAGTACCTATATCTCAAAAGAACAATGTGATAAAAAATAAATATAAAACTAGTTTATTTCACATTTCTAAATGACATTTTATAACAAAGAATTTTTTTAAGGGGGGGGGGGGGGGGTCAACAGCCGTGGTGAACTGTGCTGTGAAAAGAAATCCCTGGTCTTGATGTAGTAGAACATGACGCTCTTTCTAGAGCTGTAGTGAAATAAAAATCGATTTGTTTTTATCTTCTGCTTCAAAGCAATTTATCACCAGGAAAACAGGTTACCCCCAATGTCTACGCCTTGAATGTGGGTTAAGGGATCTATTGTTATCCGGTTCGTCATCCTTGGGCAGGGGAGATAGCTCTCGGAATACCAGGAAGAATAACTCAAGATTTTAAAAACAATCAAATACGTAGCAAGGGAAGTAGCTCGATAAATAAATGAAAATTTCCCCAAATTAGTTACAATATGCTTAAGTCTATAGTTTTAGGTGAAACTGAGTGTTGCAGTGAATTTTATAGGTAACCATTGCGTTTAAAAATGTACCTAAATGTGTAGACAAGTGCTGACATTCGATATAAGTCGAAAAAGAAAACAACAGCAGCCTAGAAACTATCGACAGGATTGTGAATTTAATAAAATAAATAAGCATCATATGCAGGGTATATAATTTTTCGGCACTATACAAAGACCTATAGTTAACAAGATTATTTTAAAGAAATTTTAGAAAGTAAAGTACGAATATATTGAGGCAAAATCAAGCAGGCCAATTCTATTGGGCTCAATAAAACCTGCATGAGCCAAAGAACTACTTACCAGCCCTATAACCAAGAAACTTCTCGTTTTATCTGACCGCTCCCATTACTCATTCAATTACTGGGAGAATGAAACTGTCGAAGATGTAGGATGTTCTAAAATAGCTAAACCAGTGCCCTACATAGGGTTGAAAATTCTCTTTACTCCATTGAGTAACTTATTTCTTTCCTGATGGATCACATTTAGTGGCCTACAGAGAAGATAGGATTCAAGTGTTAAATGGTTCAGCATAAGGTTCCCATTCCGAACCTGACAGTCTATGAAGTGGAGTTCACCTGTTTCTGTAACCTCGGCATATGAATGGATAGTGTGGTCTGCATTATGCCCAGTTGCCTTTAATTTCATTAGTGAGTTAGGTACCCATCAGAACTGGGTGGGCTCAAGGACGGTCTACGGACTTAATCCCGGATATTAACGAAAGACTTACGGGTTAGCATTTTAATTCTCTACCGCTACGCCACTCCTTCCCCTTTGCTAGTATCTGCGACATAAATAAGATCTTACCCAGCAATGTGTTCACCATATAAAAACAAATATTTGAGCCACACTGTGACAACACATTTTTCTTAGCTATTTCAATAGGTAACGGAAACCGTAATGCCAAACAAAACAACACAAGTCCATCTAATATTGTAAATGTGTATTGTCATTTAATAAAATCAATGTCTCAGCTCTATTACCAGTGGAACATAACAAAGGACAGCACAGGGCTCAGACCATATCAACAAATCAAACATAAATAAGTACCTCATGTTAAACACTGCTTTGCAAGTACAGTATAGCTGGGGTAATGTACAAAATCACAACTTAAAACCTCATTAAAAATTAACTAATTACTGAGCAGTTTATTGGGGAAATACTGTACCAATTAATTTAACAACTACATCAAAGTCACATTTTATCAGATGGAAATGTTTGCTAGCATAAAATGAGAAATGATCAGTAGAATCTTTTGTTCTACACAATAAATAGAATAGCTACCATAATATGCACATTATCAATGTTACAATTTAGGTCAAATAACATTTTTTTTTTCCTATGCTCCTTGAGTATAGAAAAAGTAAAATTCATTGCATTAACACTCATATATTTATTGCAACTTTTATCAATACTATGAACATCATATCTCACATTCACTCACCATTCTCATTCAAACCATAACACTAAAATTATCAACCTGACAAATCATTAGCAAAATACATGTCTTGATCATATTTTTCAGCTGTTACCACGCGGCCTCCAAAAAATCTGGCATTGAGAGAATTACAGGCTTTTTCTGCTTCTGAAAATGTCAAGAGGATTGTTTGTAGAAGTTGTTTTATTAATATTGCATTAATTAGTTATAAGCAAGTGGTTGAAAAAAAATGCACATACCTTCTTGTGATGAAAACTCAACAAAAATTTTAACTATGACTTCTGCATCTTCATCTTCACTTTGCCTTTCTTGGTATATGATGACCCTGTTGACTGTGCCAAATTTTCCACACTCATCTGTGACTTCACTTTCAAGTTCATCGTCTAAATCTTCTGGCCCAACCATATTTCTTAGAACCATGACACGACACTAGAGAAATTGGAATGAGATATTTAAATCTTAAATTGTAAAACTATTTGAATTCTATTTTGATGAAAAAATATATTTTTTTGAGAAAGGGAGTCTTGTTAAAATTAGACTAATGAATGTTAATAAAAGGGCAGATTGAGATTAAAACGTCAACTAAGGAAAATACCTCTGACTTGCGCATTAATTTTTGCATGACCATATGCCGAGCACTGCTACCACTAATTTTCATGCTCTCTTGTTGCTCCAGTGTTTGAGGCACATCCTCTAAAGCAGGTTTATCCTCTGCTTTTTCAGCAGTGGAGCTTAATGATACTGTGAATACAACAATGTTTCAAGTGAAAGTGTGACTTCAATTAACAGAATAAGGGGAAAGCAGACTGGCAGATGCTGCAGCTTAAACAAATTGAAGAGAACAACACAGTGACAGAGGTTAATATTTAAGTGAAGCAGATGAGATGAAATAAATATGCTATATTATGGTTTAGAATCATTTTTACCTGGAACTTGTGTAACCAGACTCAAGGGCAGTGAAACAAGACCTATGGTTGGTGGGGCAACTGCAGGTAATATAGGTAAAACAGGTGAAGTTTGAAGTGACATTAGAGGTACAGGTGGCTGTGTTGGGGGTTTAGGCATTGATGGGTGTGGAGGCGCCATGGGTGGTAAAGCTACAACACTTGTGCTTATAGTGTTGATGACTGGTGCAGTCCCCTTTATAATAGGGCTAGTACCACTCAATGTTGGGAGAGCTAAACCTGGGGGTGCCTGAAGAGGAAATAAAATGTAATAAATATTAAGAGTTTAAATATAAAAATATGCAGGACAATTATCATGCATAAAATTGCAACAATGAAATACACTTCTTTTTTATTGTTCAAAGCATATTATATTTTTCGAAAAAAATAAAAATACAAAAAAAGTTTAACAACTATTGAATACTTTTTTCTTCATTCTAATTTATTATAACTATATTAAATCATATTAGTAGGTGCCTTTTATTACTATATTAAATCATATTAGTAGGTGCCTTATTGAAGTAAATACATATGAATTGACAATAAAACAGTTGCAATAAATACATTAGGTAAGATGACATTATCATTAAGCTTTATTAAATTTTTAATTCCAAAGAATGCATCTTAATTTTTACTTACCAAAGCTTGTTGTTGAGCGTCCATTGCTGTCAATTTGGCTGTGATAGCTGCAGCAGCTACTGCAGATGCTGTTGGCATGGCTGTTGGTGGAACTGATGGAGCAAATGCTGTATCTGGAGGTGTGATTGCCTATATAGAGATAAAAACAATTTATATTACACATTTTCATCCAACAACAAAAAAATAAATGTAAGTATTAAATTAAGATACATGTATACAAACTTACCCTGCCAACTCTGAGATATTGCCCACCAAGGTCAAAAAGGTTCATAGATGTTACTGCATCTAAAGCTGACTGTAATGTTTCATACTCTATAAAGCCATATCCTCTGTAGACATAACAAAAACAACATAAGTCGTTGGATTTTTAAAAACCAAACAAAATACATAATTGGTTTTAAATATAAATTAAACAATGGGATGGGGTGATCATATGGTAGAGGGCTAGACAGCTAGACCACAAGTATAGACCCTAAATCCATGAGTGCACTCAACTCTGATAAGTACCTGATTCACTTAGGGCAAGTTAAGGCAGCTGGATACAGGGATGTGACCAGACCAGGAAAAAAAATTAGGAAATTTTCTTCGGAAATAACTCAATATATTTATCTACTTTTTATCGCAGTTAAGCAGCTTTATACCGCAGTTAAGCAGCTGCATACTGTTACTGTACTAATTAATTGTTTAATGAAGTTAATATTTTAAATACAAGAAGTTTATGTTACTCTAAAATAACATTGAAAGTCTTGTCTAATTGCAATTTAATGTTCACCTTATAAACAACTTTTTTAAAAATTACAATGTAACAAAAGTAGCAATTAAGTTTTATTTTACCATTAAGCTAATTTAAACTGTACTAATCTAGTGTAGATTCTAGATGTACTCCTGTTTTCAATTTTAAATAGGGGACCTAATGCCTTATATTCTTTTAAAGATTCGATTGGTAAAAATATTTTTCTTCAACTGTAAAGACCCTAGATTAAGATTAGTTACAATTTGAAAGTTTTAGGTTCATGTGATGGAAAAATGAAATGGATCGGTTAGCTAAAATTAGAAAGGGTCTGACTTGTGAGCTAAAGTTAATCATTATGATAACCAAGCCACATCGATATTTGTTTTTTTTTTTGGAATTGTTAGGGGTCATCCACGTTTTTTTTGACGATATTTACCTCCCCTCTCTCATACAAAAGCCAGACTCCCCCACCCCTATAATGACGTCACACCTCAGCCAACAAATGCCCCCCCCCCCCCTCCTCGAATTGAATTTTTTTTTTACCATTGATTTTTTTTTTTTGACTGAGGTCGACCAAAATAGGGTATTTTATTCAATTTCTATTACGTTTTACAAGTTTTCCAAAACGCGTAATAGCGGCTAAAATGCAGTTGTTTCTAACATTACTTTTTTTTAAAATATAAAAATATGACGTTACACTATCTTACGAGTGTGACGTTATATATGGAAGACCCCTTATTAAAAATTTAAAAACAGTCTGTACGTATTTTTTCTTCCACAAACAAGACACGGTCGTAGTCACGTTGAGTTTAGTATTTTTTTTTAAACTGTAGGCCTACGAAGCATACGTATTGCAGGAACAGCCATTTGAAATTGACTGTTACGTCATTTTTTTCCCCCACAAGCAGTACAGAACACGTACTTGCGGTCAAGGTGAGGTCACAAGAGCCACCGTTGCTACGAGTACGAGGTGGGGCGGGTTAGTCTAGTCCTCATAGTCACCTTTTGCAAGGATTTCAATATTAATTTGAGATTGCGAAATAAAATAGAATCGGAGAGAAACTGTAGATTTAGGCGGGTTAAAATACCGTTAGATAAATTAGGCTATATCAATAGCTAATTTACCAGGCTTAAGAGATGTAAGTTTCATTTGAATAACTGCATTATTTTAGATTATTTTCCCCCTGTTTTTGATAAATAGTTAACTGAAAATAGCGGAAAATTTGGTCTAAAAAATTGTGCTTTGAAAAATTCGTAAGTCCGCCGAAATTCCGAATCTTAATCTACATTTAATCTTGATCTAGCACCGTCAGACCTAGCGCAATCGGCCAATCGAAAAGAAATGCGCATATTCGAGTGTCCATTTGACCTAAGTACAGTAGTTGTCGATTTAAATTTAAATACGAACAAGTGGATTGAGCATGTCGGCCCTTTCCGGAGAAGACATTTCCGTTGGTTTTTTTTTCTCCTAATTTTTAAAACTTCGTAAAAAAATCGAAAAAATTGAAACTCGGCGAAAAATTCGGCGAAAATTAAATCAGCGGAGGAAAATCGCAACTGAAACGGAAAAATCGGATTTCCGCTAAAATTCGGAAAAGTCACATCCCTGTGGATATAATGCTGACCACATTATCCCTTCATATGCTGAGAAGTAAGTGTAAACTCTACCTCTTTACACAGACCACCAGGTACAAAAGGTTAATTATTTATTAATTAATCTGTAAAGTATTCCTGATCTAAAATATTACAAGTTACCAAGCAAAGGAACAATTTACTGACAAGTGTACTACTTACTTGTGTTTCCCCTGTTTTGCTGGATCTTGAAGCAGTTCACATGAGACTATTTTACCAAATGCTTCAAAAACACTGCCAATGTAAAAAATAAAAATTGAATTCACAATGTTATCCACATATCACATTTTAAAATTTATCTAATCAATAGTAGCTAATCAATAATAAATTTCAATCCCAACTTATCAAAATACCATAATACCTTTTAATGTCATTTTCGGTTAAATCTGGATGAATAGATGTAATGTATATACGGTTATAGTTCTTGGCTTCCTGTCCAAGCTGTTCAATAATTGGTTGTGCTTGTGGCATATTACTCGGTCGCCCAACCTATTTAACAAAAACAAAGTATTCAAATTAAGATACTGTTCTCATAACTGATATAGTATGACTGTTGATTTATAAAGTAAAGCTTTTATATAGCAAACTACAAATTTAATACCATTACAAAAATTTGATGAGAGAAAAATTTACTGAACTTTGTAAGAGCAAAATCAGTTTTTAAATTTAACTACTAAATTTTTAACTAGAAATGTAATTAGACTAAGAAGAAAAAAATAGAAAATAGTTTGTGTTACTCACTATTACAAAATGAATCAAATAAGGCATACTTAACTGGCATACCTTAATGTTTCTACCTCCAATCATCACTCCATTCATCTGCTCTAGAGCAAGCTGAGCAGCTTCAGGAACTTCATATTCTATAAATGCAAATCCTTTGTGTTTATTTGTAATAGGATCCCAGGATAAATTAACAGATTTGACTGGTCCAAAAGGTAGAAATGCTTGTTTTATAGTATCTTCTTTTATTTCAAAATTTATACTGCCAACGTAAATTCTAAAAAAAGATGGTTGTTTTGTTTTAATAGATGACATCAAATTAAAATAATTGAAGAACTAGCTTAAGTATATAAAAAGACCTCTCAAAAAAGCATAACTGCTTTTGAGCTTTCAAGCCATGAAAGAAAAAAAATATTTGCAACAGTAATTAAAGCCAATTGCCCCTTTAGTGATATGTGTTACATATTACTGTGTGTATACTACATGCATTTCAGGGAAATATATTTTAAAACATACCTGCACATCAAGGCCAAAGCCTGCTGTCTTTGTACGGTATTCTGGAATTGTTGCATTTGCTGTTGATTAAAAAGTAAACATTAAAACCATTACTTATTCAGTATTACCTAGCAAATATATTGTAGCAAATGATTAAGTTTCTGTACCCCCTGACGCTAAATCGATTTCCAAGACTGAGGGATGAGAAAAATTATAACTAAAAAACCAAACAAACCCGATATTTTTGATCAAGCTAAATGATGAAGTCTAATAATTGACAGTCAACAAAAATGGTATAAAGTTATCTAAACTCAGTCAGTCATATATACAAGCATTGAAGAACCCTTTGACTTTGTCATAAGATGCTACTTCTTTGGAGGCATCAATCATAGATTAAATGGGGGTGGATAACCTAATTATTTTTTAGCACGAGAAAAATGGCCCGTTGAGGAAGGATACAAAGGGCGCTAGGTTGATAGTGCTGTCTATTTTCTCTAAACTAAAACCAACCCCCCCCCCCCCCCCCCCCCAAAACATGTCTACCGTCCCATTCAACGAAATATAATTATATACTTTTTCCAGTGTCCGCCCCCGCCCCGAAAATTCTACCCCCGCCCCCGAAAAATTGAAGTACCACCAACCCTCTCCGGGGAGGAAAAAGTCTGAAAGAAACACTGGTCGCATTTGTAGATCATACAAACTAAAGGAAGAACCTGGGCGGGGCTTAGCCCCTACCGGAAGAGATGCATGAAAAAAACACGCTAAACACTTTTTAGATTAGAAAAAGTTCCCCCCTCTGGGAAGGTAAAAGTCTGAAAGAAACACTGGTGTCGCGCTTAGCCACTACCTGAAGAATTGCATGAAAGAAACTGCAAGCAAACCACTTTTTAAATTAGACACATTAATTAGGCGGTAATTTTATTATAGAGTATCAATGAAGAAATTTCTTTTGAGTTGGGGGGGGCTGGGGCTGCTGCTGCGCGGCTTAGGTGGGACTTCGCCCGCCCCTACCCTAAGAATTGTATGAATGAAACTCTTCATGCAACCCACTTAGATTAGACAATATTGGCTTTTTAATTCAATGTTTCCTCGAGAATCATTGACGTCATATTATTGTGTGCACTCTCCGGCTGTAGACTTTTTTCTACAATATGCTAAATGTGACGTCATATTTTGTTTCTGTTTTACTATGAAAGTTTTTATTTTGCTTGTGTTTTCTCTATAGCACTCTTGTCACATAGATAGTTAGAAAGATACACAGACAGCGAAACTATTATTATAGATTAGTTTCCTAGTTTTTGATTGGACAAAACACTTGCACAGTAATAATTTGTGTGAAAATGACAAATAGTGTCATAAAGGATTGTTCCATACAGAAGAATTGAGCTGATATTTTAACTAGCTGAATGTAAACCAGCAGACCAGGAAATGAAAAAGAAACATAGAACCTTGAGCTGATACTTATTTATGAGTTAACCTATCCAGTAACTTGGTTGCCAAAACCATAAAATTATGTAGAAAACCCTCAAAGTAGAAAGCATTGTGTAACTGACCACCTAAATGAAGATGAAATATTTTTTCATGCCACAAACAGGATGCACAGCTGTTTCCCCCAACTGTTTTGCCAGAACAGAAATTAGAGATTTTAATAACATTATCTAAGTACACAACAAAATTTTCCTCAACTGGAAAAATTGTGGATTTCCTAGACAATTTAACAAAAAGATACACATCTGAATAACTTAACAAAGAATTAAGTATTCCATAGCCAATGTACTGCTATTAATAACCATTCCAAAACTAATAGTTTATATACACATGTTTAACAAAAATTTCCACTATGGACATATAACACAGGTTACTCGACATTACCTACAAAACCAATGTATTGTAACCATTGCCAACGCATTATGTAGGATGCTTGGTTTCCATATATATAATATTGTATTCTGTATTGAACTACTAGATAATATAAATTTAAATCCTTAATACTGTAGTTAAAAAATTTATTTATAAACTTATACAGCTGGGCCAATATTAATCACTACTATTAGCAAGTTCAAAAATTAAATAAAATGGTAAATAAACTCTTGTATTGTTTAAATATGTAAACAGTTATGTATAAATCAATTTTAAAATATAACTTTTGGAACTAGAATTCAGGAAAAAGGTATATTTTTTTTTTACTTTCTCATTGTAATCAAGCAGAATAATCAAGATATTTTGACAATTTTCACGGTTTTACACCTCCCTACTAGTCCACAGAATAAAAAGGACACAGTTCCAGAGCCAGAAAAAAATTTGTGGTGTCTGCAAATTTAAGTTAGGTGGACAAATTTTCATATATAAGAATTAGATTTTATGAGCAGATTTCTGTAAACTATTGAACAATTCCGTTTAACCAGAAGTGACACTGTTTTCATGTGAACAAGATACCTTGAGCACTGTATCAGTTAGGTAGATGAAATTTCAACCATTTGGTCAAAGTTTAAGTGAATTCCGGTGACATCTTTTTCCAATTAAAAAAAAAAAAAAATTGATAATTCACTTTTAGTGTGCAATTGTCTCTCTTCTAATCTATTATATTTAAAATGTGCATTATGGTGTAGAAAATTAATGCTTTATATTAGGGTACTCGCTTTATAGTAGGGTACTATTCCAGTCCCAATTTACTCAAAAGACTTTCAGAATTTTCTAAGCTCAACTTCACTGAAAGTGCCACCCCCCTAACTCAAACTTACTGTTATAAAAGAATATAGAGAAAGTCTCACTTTATTTGGTTTTTTCAAGTTGAAGGCTAAGATTTCTTAATCTATACTAAAATAATTTTTTTTTACATGTTTATTTTTTATAGTATTTTGCAGGAAACAAAATATGACACACGAACTAAACCTTAATTTTTTCAACACAAAATATCAATGTAGTCGAAACAGTTAAGTACTTGTAATATTCTACATTGAAAAGAGATAAAGTGATTATTTTGTATAGATAAAGATAAATTGTCAAAGAAGCACAGGAGACATTTAGAAGCTAATTATTAAAATAAAAAAAACATGGACAATAAAATGTTATACCCAAACAATTATGTTAAATACCTATTAACTCAAGCACACATGACAGCCAAGCTATTATTACATGTTCTGTATGTGAATTTTCCTTTTCAAATGATTTTTACTTTCCAGAGTTGACTAAATCATAGTCATACATTCTTACCTCTGGCAATTAGGAAGAGTCATACATAAAAATGTGTAATTTGGAGCAAAAAAGATGAATTATATTAAGAGCAGTTGCAACTTTACTAAGCCATCAATTTAAAAAAAATAAAAAGACGAAACAAAAAAACTCGTACAGTATACACAGTAAATATGAGCATTTAAATAGTTCTGGTATACAGCAATATATAGACAGTATCTGGACTACATGTGTACTCTGTTTTAGTTTACATTTTTTAGAGAGAGAAAAACATAATCCCCGCCTCCCCTCAATGCTATTATAAAATATTTTAGTACTATTTGATTTAACAGGATCTAATGCTAAAACGGTCAATGCTAAACTATTTTTGTTCTTTTGGCTTGCCTTGCAACCTTAAAAAAATTAACCTTACTTTCCTTTTTTATTTTATTGAATGTTTAATTTACTATTACTAATGCCCAACAGAATGCTTGTTTTGGTATTCCTCTCGTGTAAAAAATGAAAATTTCTCAGAATACTTCGTAACTCTTTAACAGGGTTCGTACTACTTTTTGAAAATGAAATTCCAGACTTTTTCCAGACATTTTCCAGACTTTTTTGGAAAACATTCCAGACTTTATACAGATAATGTGTTCGCGAATAATTTATAAAATGATGCAACATTTATACTCTCCTTATAATTACTTATACTAAATTGACATTTATTTTAGGCAGTTGAGCTATATTCATATTGAACTTTCTGTAGCCAAATTGACAGAAAATCACTTTTCTAAGTTTGCCTACTCCACCCTACCTAAAATTTTAACAATTAAAATAATTGATTAAAATGATGCAACTATTTTGTATCCAACATTAGACTTATATAATCTGTTCCTGATCTAATTGCTTATGTTTTCAATTAAACTATCATTAAAATGGTATTGCATAATAGTGAGAGTTAATTACTTTAAAGAATAATAATGTAATGTATTAATTTAAGTCTGCTCTTGTTAAGTAGCCTAATATAGGGTACTTGTAAAAAAAAAAAAGTGGAGCAAAAAAAAGAAAAACCAACCAAAACCACATCATTCACAGTTTGTGCTTATAGTAACAGCTTAGAAACGGGTCTGCAATAAAAAAAAATTGCCAGTATCCTCCCCCCCCCCCCCCCCCCCCCACAGACACACACGACACAGTAAAGGGGTTACTGTGAGGTCATAGTAGTCTAGACTTCAGTATGCCTGTTTAATACGTCATAACAGGAACTGTGCTGTGACTTATACCCCCCCCCCACCCCCCTTACCAAGCAGTTCCTTCTACCCACTTGGGGTCACTGTGAGTTCACACAAGTGACCGATGTTACAAGGAGGGGTGGGGTAGTCGAACTTTAATCGTCAGCATTTGCAAAGATTTCAAAAACAGTTTAATGGAAGGTGGATTAAAATTAAAAGGGTCATCCATTTATGAGGGGGGAAGGGGTCAGAAGATTTTGTGATTACATTCTAAAACAAACATAAAACTTGTATTTTGCGAGTAGAAAGTAAAATTAAGACGACTGTGCTGGTGTTTTAAAAACCATCACAGCATGTAAATATAACACGGTATTTATATCTGCCCTAACATTATTGCAAGAGCGTGTCGTCACACTTTCTGAAACCCTCCTCCCGACTTTCCGGAGTGTGATGTCATTTATGGACGACTCCTTAATAAAAATAGTACCTCTTTGTTAAGCTGAAGCAAACAGAAATACAGGTATGAACTCAAGGAGGCCTTGCGACTTATTAATCTTATAAAAGCTAATATTAATCAAAAGTAAGTGAGCGCGTGTGGACATAGGGTGGTGGTGGGGGGGGGGGGGGGGGGGGGGGGGGGGCAGAGTGGGGAGGGGGGGGGGTCTAAAATCCGAAAAAAATGTGTAAGTCATAAATGGATGACGCCTTACAGACTGATAAATTATATCTAAACTACCACTCACACATCTCCCCCATAACTTTTTGTTATGACTGCCTGCATGCAAACTCAAACGATGAAAAAATAGCCGGTAAAATCGAGAGCCTAACAATTCTGAGGGCGATCATTCTTTCATTAAATGACAATTGTAAGTACTTGTAACACATTCACACGGTCAGTCGCGCCACAAAATATCTCTTCCCTCCCTTCCCCTCTTCTCCCAATGACGAAGTAACCGAGCATCCGTTTTTTTTCCTGCGAACCAGCGAAAAACGTCACAACACAGTGTAAACCCGCGCTGTAGCGCGGGGAAAAATTGGAGAAATTCACTTAAAAATCGCAATTTTTTATTTGGAAACTATGGACTACGAAGTTTTGTTTCTAAAACTAGATTCCAGACTTTTTCCAGACTTTTAAAAAATACAGCCCAAAAACTAGCGATTTTCCAGACTTTTTTAAGTCTTAAATTCACTTTTCTAAATTCAAGACTTTTTCCAGACTTTCCAGACTGCGTACAAACCCTGCTTTAAGCCGCAATTATTTTCAAGATTTACAGGAATTATTTTTTGTTCACTTAAAGTAATAATTTATTTATTGAAGAATGATAATTACTTAGTTTTAAAGAAGAAAAAATAAAGAGTAGATTTTTTCGAGGAAAAAATAAGCTTCTGTAGGAAAAATAAATGATAAGATACTTTTCATGAGTTATTATTCATAGAAGTCGATAGAAGAGCATTCATTTTTCTACAAAAATCATTAAAAGGATTAGTCTTAAGCACTTTAATTTTGGCTAAATTTATAATGCGGAGACAAACTTTTAGACGTGGCCGATGAACGTCTTTACGCAGTGTGAAAAAATGCCATTTTGTGAGTTGTTTTACAAAAAAATTCTTTAAAATACAAAACCAACCTAACAAGAAAACTATAAGAAGTAAATACAACAAAAAAACGCAGCTCTAGCGATAACAAGACCTAGATTTATGATTAAAAACTACCATTCTGAAAAACAATGAATTAAATAGAGAAAATGTTATCAGACGATGGGAACGTCATTCCGGTATGGTAGGCTGGTCTATCGACCACTATGAGGGTCATTAAGGTCTTAAAGAGTTAAATATTGTGTTTATTTTTATTTGCTACCCCAACCCAACCTCAGCAGCTGATATTTCCCACATTATCAACATGCAGATCCTTTGTGATAGAAGTCCAGAAGCATAGAGTAGTCTAGTGGCTGGTTGGTGGTCATGAACAAAGACTATCTAGGGTTTAGCACTGAAGGGGGACAAGCAAAACCTATGCTGGACACATATCACTGTCTGAAAACCAACACTACACCTGGTTGAGACACTGGACATGAGGTGGTATCTGGGCTAAAAGTAAAAACTTGGCCAGCAGGGAATGAGTAAAAGAAGAACCAGAAGTACTGACAGATGGTCACGACTAATCTATAAGTAGCAGCAATGTTTATTAAAGAATTGCTGGCAGACAAAATATGTTCTATCAAAGCCATATGATATATTACAGGTCAAAACACTTTAGGCTAAGCTGTGACTTAATTTTCAATCATAGAATGTCTCATTCAGCAGGCAGGTGATGACCTTAAATATATAGTCCAGAATAAGTGATAGCCAGCCATTTAGTCATACCAATATTACTACAGCCCCCCTCACACTTCAAATTCTACAGCAGTTGTTAGAAGAGCTACTCACTAAACAAAAACCTACCAGCCACATAAAAACAAGTTTTTTTTGTGTCTCATCACGTTTCATAAAACAAATAGTACTAATCCTCACAAAAAAAAATGTCATTTATAAATTTATAGCCTTTAGCTTCCCAAATAAAGACAGGACATTATTGACTATGTTCTTTATAAAGCCACCTCTTTAGAGGATTTGTGACAAATCTTTACAGATCATTTCTTTATGTATGAATAATTCATTATTGGCTTCTGAAGCCTAGCCTCAATGACAGCAAAACTAAGTGTGAATAAAGAAATATTTTATACCTGTTGTTGATGAGCAATGGTCTGCCTCACAAGAACACTCTTGATACTCTGTTCCATGGCAAATTTTTTGGCTCTTTGAATATCTTCCTGTTGTGATGAGCTGAGTTTGGGTGGTGTAAAAGGTTTAATGTCACGTTTAGCCCCAGGGCCCTCCAACAAGGGTCCACTTTGGTCTGACTGGGGAAAATATGGTTCTTGTGAGTCTCCAGACCCTGAAACAATGACAAAGTTTACAAGTAAAAATATGCACTTTAAAAATAATCACACTAATCAGGAAGATGCCTAAAGAAAGATCTTACAACTTTCAGACTTACCAGTCTACAAGTCAATGTGTAAAAAGTAAAAAGTTTAAACATTTTAAAATTGACAAACTTCATGTTTTAAAGCTTGATTCAAGACATCATGTTTTTTCTCAAAGGTAAGACTCCCATTTTTAATTTGTTTTATAACCTAGGTGTCAGGATGCATGAGTTATGGAAACAAAAGCTACTAAATGAGGCAATGAACACTGCAAATTTTCAAATTAAACCCAGCCAATACAACACATATTGGACAAACACATATGAAATAAAATAGAAAATGTTTTGAAAATTTGCAGATACAATCATTTTAAGGTTCCAAAACATATCGGACATCAAATTCTAATCTTTACCGCATCCTGGTGTGTTATTCCGCCGCACATTCTTTACATTGAGTTATGGCGGATGCTGTTGATGCATGCCCTCCCATACAAAATGCTGGTTGTTTGTGGTATGGTATGGTGCAAAATGCCCTTCTCTTAAGACTGTATGAAACACACAGAAAAAGAAGAGAAAAACACAACATTACTAATGTAGCTGTAGCTTTCACCATTATTTCAAATCCTTTGCAAGGTGGGAAGCCACTCTGAATTTGTCTTGAATCATTATACAAACCTGAGCGCTCTAAAAATATTATCCATGTCAAAGCTGCTCAATACATATTGATACAGATGCTTATCTCTGGCTTGAGTAAATCTTCTTTGAATGTTATATGAATTGTGGCAAAATCCACCAATGTTCTGTCTTGAATATATTCAACCACATTGACTACCCAAAATAATAAAAATTCAACAGAGTCAAATTTAACCAAGCAAAATGTAAATATTATAAGACTACGACAATTGTGATTCTTGAATTGATTCAATCCATCTGTGCTAGGCTTTAGTGTCACCTACAACAATCTCACAGGTAGACACTGTAGGTTGCTGAAATACAGGAGAAATCAAGAAAAACAAAATATCACCTCTGTAAGGATGCTTTCAGCACAAGTATGCTCACAATACATTTAGAGTTTAATCAATCCTAAATAATACACTAAAGGCCTGCTAGGTAAAACACTTGAATGATACAAAATAGGAATTGATAACAGATGGAATACTTCTTGCCTGATAAATAGACTAACTCAGTTTTAGCTATCTCCATTTAATTTCATGTACTAGATTTATTAATGGTCTGATGAAAATATAACATTATTTTTAAGGGCTCAACAGAAGTATGTTTGGACAAACACTTAAGTGATGGTGTGAATGTAAGGACTTCTCTTGAAGTGGGCACGATCTCAAATAGTATCCACACTCACATCTTAGAAGATCGCATTCTTCTCATCAAACCTGAGCAAGTGGCTTTGGCTGAAAGTACATAGAAAGAAGACCAAAAACTTCACTCCGGACATATACTCCATGACCATGTATTATCGCTTTAAAACCCTACATATTCAAAGTGCTTTTTCCTAATCAAAGTTATTTTTAAAAATCCACAAATGAAAACTTTAGATACTCGCATTGAGAAATAGATATTTACACTAGTTAAAATATAGGTTATGAAAGAGATCAGCATGAGTTTAAAAAGGGGCAACAAAATAAAAATGGAAATTTAAGATAAATGCAGAGCTGGTTTCAAATTTTAACTTTTTGAGTTTTAAGCGCTCATTCCGTTAGAAAACAACAATAATAATTTTTTAAAATTAAATACATTTTCAATTACAGAATAAAAACTGCTTTAGTTTTAAATATAGATTTTTACAAGCTAGTGACCAATTACAACTAAATAAAAACCAGCTGATAAAATTATTCACAAACCTAGGAAAACAGCAAAATAAAAAAAAATATATAAAAAAGCTTTATTTCTTAAATTTAAAAGAAACTAAAGTGTGAGAATTTTTTTCTTAATCCAGCAGTACAAATTAAAAAAAAAAACTTTAGTACAATTTGAGAAAAAAAAACTTAAGCCCCCTTGGATGTAAAACTTAAATGCATGCTTTGGCAATTCTAACAGAAACAATTCTATAACAATATATGTATAAATATGCTTTAAATGGCAAGTTGTACTTAGTATAATATTGCACAATGACATGAAAAACCATATAGCATTAGAAACATCTCCAGCTCTGGTACAATAGCATCAATGTATCCAATATTCCTGTAGACTACTCAAAAAGAAAATACAGAAAGAAATAAAAGTAAAAATGTTAATACACAAATATTTTATACATCATTATGAAAACACACGGCAATATTTGGGCTATGTTAGTTATTGCAAATTGTGTAAAAAGATACACTGCTTCTATATACAATGCTTTAAAGATTTATATCTAACTTATGAGCAGCTCAGCCATAGCTATCATTTTGATTGCATTTTTTCAAAGGTCTGATGATAAATTTTAAGATGGCTATGCTTGTATATACAATTTAACAAGGGCTTTTTGTTTTAGACATTTCTTTTTTGTACATATTCCAATAAATTGCAAACAAAATGACTACCATGCTGATGAATTAAAATGAAAAACCCATACCATTTTCCAATTTTAAACGCTTAGTTAACGGATCTCCAGATGCATCAAGGCTCTGTAATAAGTAAAACAAAAAAGGATTATTGATTATTTCAGCACATTTATAGCATTAAAATATGAAAATGAGGTGTTGAATGATACTTAATCTCAACTAGGCTATCAATATTGGATATTACTAAATATCTAAGATTTTCAATCTCGAAATCCTAATATCGATAAAATATTAATGATTTGAGGGTTCATTCCTTAAACTTTTTAGGCAAAGCAAACAGAAATCGTGCCTGCTATAAAAAGGATGTTTTTTTATTAGCCTATGAATATTAAAATTTGTGGGGATTTAGTGACCTATCACTGAAGTCTTAAGACTAAGCGAGGCACCTTCAATTTCTTACAACAGTAGAACCAGTTTTATTTTAACTCAATCCGTCCCATGAGCCACGAGATGCGGCTTGGGCCAGCTTCACCATAGGCCGCGAGCCGCAAGGTACGGCTCGGCACCGCTAGTGTTTGTTTCTTTAACAAGTCATTTAACATGTAAAAAACCTACATTCTTTAACATAACTCACAATTATCTTTAATTACTACTATAGAAATTTCATTTCTGATCATTTTGATGTATAATACATGAATCTGGTTAGAAATACATAGGAGCTACAATTGTTTAAGTAGGTGAGGTGGGTCACGGAAATAATGAAGTCAGGAGGTGGAAACGCCTCTGGTATGGAAAGAGTTAACTTCAGGGAGCTGAGACATGCAGAACACGGGATTATAAAACAAGAAAATACAGGAAAAACTTGAGACCAGAACACTAGTAGGCCTAACAGTTAGAGAAATAAACTTAGGATGAAGTTATCGGCAAGGCTTCTTGATTTTTGTAGGCAGGCTAAATTCTATGCTAATTAAGAAAAAGCACAAAGATAAAGTGGCCTACATTATTTAGTATGTTTCGCTGCCGAGGGGAGTGATCTAAAGTGCCGCAAGCTGTCACACATAGAAGAAAAAACAAAACTCCCTATTTTCATCAGGCGCAATTTTGTAACAGTTTCACAAAGAAACAAATGGAAAGTACTGTGTTACTCCGATGTGATTCTAATATGTAGAAGATATTTTGTATTCCTATGCAGAGAATTTGAGATATTCTTAATTTAGTGACGATCTTCCTTGCGACAAATTTTCTCTCTTTTTTGTCTGCAGCTACCTGCCACTGCTTGCGTACCGACCGCATGTTATTTGCTTAGATTCAGTTTTAGGATTGGTAAGGCACTGATAAATGATAAAACCCTTCTTAGATATTTCGTCAGACTTTCTTCTAGATTCTATCCCTGCGGCAAAGGGGACAGTTTAGGCCTTATGGCATACCTAGAGTCTCAGTGGTCCAGACTTCCTAGATTTCTAGTTAGAGACTAGATTAGTCTAGCTAGAGTCTAAAACTAGAATAGTCTAGAGTCTAGATCAAGAAAACTGATTAGTCAGTGATTATCCTAATCACTGACTCAGATTACTGAGATAAATTTAGTTACCGTAACTAAACTAATCTCAGTAATCTGAGTTACTAGTTAGGCCTTTTATTAGCAAATCCACAAGAAAAAAGTCTCAACTCTCAACAACAGTTGAGTAAAGTTTACTAAAGCAGAATTGATTAGGCCTAATAAACGTAGATCTAGTCTAGATCTAATGTTAAGGAATCGTAAAGTCAGTAAGTCGCTAGACTAAATAATAAATATTAGATATTCCAGTGGCCTAGTGTTAGTGTGATGCAGGACACCAGTACAAAAATTCTAGTCTACCAGCCAACAAGCCAACTCACTTGAAATCCATTGCCATTCATCATACTCAAATCAAACGCGTCCATGGACGAGGCCATTTCGGAATATCCTTTCAAACTTTGGGAACGTTACTGGTACACACTATGATAGATCTAGAATCTAGATCTTTATCTGTTTAAATTGTTAAAAAACTTGTTCTAGTCTAATTTTTCTTAAAAACAAGCATATCGCCGTCGTAAAGTGCACAGCATTGCCGGACGTGGGTGCAGTAAAAATAAATGCTAAATTCAATTTTTTAAACTGTACAATTTTAACATGCTCTCTAAACAAAGAATTTTGACAATGTATTTTACAACGAATTATCAGCAGGTTGATTTACAGAATCTAAATTTTCTCATACAATTTTCATTACTAAAATTTTAAAAGCTACATCGTTGTTAATTTTAATCTAGAAATATTTTGTATCAATGTGTTATCCTAATGGAAGACCCAACCTGGCAATAATTTATGCAATGACGTAGGACAAGCCTAGGCCTAGCTTTTTATCCCAGTAGGCCTAGTGGGAAAGGAATGTTTGAACCAATGATTGATAAGGCAACCACATTGGCACCTGTTTTAGCATATTTAATTAAATTTCTAATAATTAACAAAAAATTAGTTGCTGCGATTATTTGTATTCAATGCTACGCTATAATATAGAAGGCTATTGGCCAATTTTCAATTTGTTTTCTGACATGATTTTTCTTAAAACCTTTGCATTTTCGTTTGGCTATTTGTAAACTGAAAATAATGTAAGCCTATTGATCGATTTTACATTACGTTTTCTCGATTTTAAATAATAAAAAGTCATTAAAAAACAAAAACAACGTTTTAATAACAAGCTATTATATAATTATGCATTAATAGGGAGAAAATAAATGTTTTTTTGAAATATATAATAATACACTGCTATTTAAATAACTGAAAAAAAAATCGTGGGTCACTATATCATCTATTAAATACCTTTAAGGCCTACTAACATTTTCTTTACAGTTATTTAAATAGTAGTGTTTTATTATAGGCTCGATATTTAAAGAAAATAATTTATTTTCTCCTATTCAGTGCATAATTATAAAACGCTTGTCATTAAAAGGTTTTTAATTAATGACTTTATTTTCATCTCTTTAATTTTTTATAGAGTTGCTTGACTAAAACAATTGCACTAAATGAACACGAAAAATGTGCGTGTATTGGTGCGGAAAATGGTAACTTATTAAGGAAACTTTAATAATTAATTCTTACAAAATAAATTAGGCATCCAATCTATATATATAATTCTCTCCTGGGAGACGCTAGAAAACAAGCTGTAAACGCGCTCCCTACCATCCCCACCCCTACATGGTCTTAGTGAGCTGTGGTTCACGCTATGTTTACCTTCGTGGAGTCGGGTTTAGTGACGGCTATTAGGGGCAGATAATTTAGTTTGAAACGATTTTAAACGTTGGAGGGGGGGGGGGGGGGAAGGAAGGGGGGGGGGGTTATGGTCCTTAACGAGCTACTTATAGTGTTTTAAAGAAATATTTTCAGTGTCAGCGTTGGTACTGTCGAATTCACAAATTATGAATTACTGAAAAGTAGAAAAAACAACAACTAAATAGCGGCGTATGTTATGCCGCGGGCCGGCTCGTTAAGTTATATTTGATGTCAGATTGCATTGTCGTATAGTATTAACGCACGTACCAAGTTTGAAACTAATCGGTCAGATAGAAGTGATCAAAATTTTGCGCGGCAGTTTCATCCACGAAAAAAGCACCACAGAGGAATCAAGTTATAAATAAAAGCTTGTAAAAAATATACTGTAGTGTTATAGATCTAAGCATCGGCTTGCGGAAGGGGGTGGGGTGGTTGGGGCGAAAGGTTCCCAGGCATCTAAAGTGATTAGAAAGGTTCCCCGGCATCTAAAGTGATTATACATACATTCATTATAATAAAGTTTAATATAATCGGTTCGAGGGGCATCCATACAGTAAATATGTCCAAACTCATTTTGGTGAACTTTAATAGCATTCGTAGATTGATTAAGCACATATTTATTTATTTATTGTTCATTTATCCTTTAGAATACTTAAATGACCATATTGGTTTTGTTTTTAAATATAGTGTATTCCATACACAATTTATGATCCATATTGCTTCGATGCATTGTTCGCTTCACAGTAAAATGTCCCCCACCCTTAAGTTCTACCCTACTGAGCGTCCGTGATTACATTTGAGAGCCATTTCTTTTGGATAATCATAGCCATTTATAGCGGAGAGATGCTTGGAAGAAACTCTGCAAGTACCTTAACCCGCATAAGTCTTACCCAAGCCCAACTTTCTGATCCCTACCAAGCTATGAAAGTTGACCTTTTGTTCGAAAATCGATGCTTAGTTATCGAAACTGTGCTATTTTTAAACTGTGCATAAATCAATAATTGATTTTATGAGTGCTTTGAAACGCTAAGTTAAAAATAAGCTATGCATGGAGACTAAAATAAACAGCACTCTCACAACGAAACGCGTGTTTACAATTTTTATCACTCATACATTTTTTATCCATATATGCCTACATGTGCGGTTATGATATTAATTAATGTTTAAAAACAATGGACTATTTGTCATAAAAGAAAAACAACGACGTCTACTAATCAAGTCAGCGCTGTTGGAAGTTAAATAAAATAAACCGGGAGTGATCTCCCCTAAACTTTCTCGCATATTCTTAAATAACACTACGGGGGATGACAACTCGGGATGTAGACCCGATTTTTAATCAATTTTTACTTTCTCGTATACATAGTATAGAGAAAGTGTTGTAAACATGCACAAAAATCACTTGAAATTTTGAGTTATCACCGTTTTACACCTCAGTCCTTCATCACATCCAGAGTATAGAGGACTTATTTTGATCGGGCAAAAATTATAAACCGAATATATCAAAATTTTGGCGTTGTATACGTAATCGAGTCTGAAAAACTGGGCTTTTCAATTCTGTCCGTATGCCTGTGTGTGTGTGTTTGTAATCACGATAACATGAGTACCGTAACAGCTAGATTGATGACATTTCATATGCAAGTATTATATTAAATTTGTAGTACAGTATCAACTTTTCAGTTTTTTTCCGATAACCGGAAGTGGAACTTATTCTACTTTGAAGATCAACCAGTCCAAAAGATTGTTTGTTATGCAAATCAAACCGTTGCAAGCCTTTGTCTACACTCAGACATAGAGACAAGAATGTCTAAAGGGTGTCACCCATATCCAGCGACCATTTTGGCACTTTTGAAACGATTCTGTCTGGACCCGAGTCAGAGGCGTAGCGACCCTTCCCGGCGCCCGGGGACATACTTTCAATTTGGCGCCCCCTTGGGAGCAAATTTTCGATTTGCACCCCACCCTCGAACTTTTCATTTGCACCCCCCCCCCCCCTCAAACTTTCGATTTGCACCCCCCCCCCCTCGAACTTTTCATTTGCACCCCCCCCCCTCAAACTTTCAATTATGCGCCCCCCTAAGGTCGGCGCCCGGGGACATATATCCCCCACGCCCCCCCCTCGCTACGCTACTGACCCGAGTGCATTTACTTGTGTTCATTAAAGATTAATACTATACTTTTATATACAAAATAAGTTCGATCTTTGATCACACCAGCATGCTGACCTTACTGTTGGCTATTTGTAAAACGATTGATGCAAATATGGTCATCACAGATTTTATAATGTTTAATGGCTTTTGACGTCCTATTCAGTTATTAAAAAATCTTTTGATTTAAAAAAAATCCAATCATCAAACCCTTAAAACCAATAACGCCTTTGCTATTTTAGAATGCATGCACCAAGACTTAATACGGTGTACATGATCAGCAACACCTCAGGATAAAATACCACGGACGTTTATTCTCTCACGTCTGCTGTGCTGGCCGAGTGCCTCATGGCGTACGTCTGATTGCGGGCTAAGGTTTGCTTGAAGATAAAGGAGCGGAAGTTGTATTACAGTGACATAACATACACACTAGTAGTCCATGGTCGGTGCTGACACAGGACGCCGGTGATAAGGAATATCGATACTAACCAAACACTACAGTTACACAACACGGGTAAGTCCGCAAAGTTCGCACAACTGGCGTCGGTCTGTACTATATGTATGTATGTATGTATATATATATATATGTACATACATATATATATATATATATATATATATATATATATATATATATATATATATATATATATATATATATATATATATACGCTACACATATATAGCATGTATGTATAGATAACATACACGCAAAAAATATAGAGATGTAGTCTATATAACTATATGCTGTATTGAATATATATATATATATATATATATATATATATATATATATATATATATATGTATATATATATATATATATCTGAGAATAGTTTATATGTGTATAGCCTATATTAAAGTTTAAAGTTCCCCCTCCAAACCTGACGATTTTTGGGGCAAGCGAAGTAGAGTTAACCTGTTTATTTGTCTTCGGCATATGAAGGGATAGTGTTGTCAGCACTATGCTCAGCTGGGTCAACTCAGGAACGGTGTACTTAGCCTATCATGTATGTATGTAAAGACTACATATCTGTCTTTATAAATGTAGTCAACACAATGTAGTCAACACACACACACACACACACACACACACACACACACACACACACACACACACACACACACACACACACACACACACACACACACACACACACACACACACACACACACACACACACACACACACACACACACACACACATATATATATATATATATATATATATATATATATATATATATATATATATATATATATATATATATATATATATATGCCAAACACATCCCATGTTCACACCCCGATGGTAAAACCAAGCCCCACTATTGTTGTAGTATTCACAACCAAGCCCCACCCTTTCCGTTAACTACATACAATGCTGACATTACAGATAAACCCTTCACTTATCAGTTAGGTAACCATTCACCCATATCACTGCTATGTCAGCGGTTATCGTCTCTCTGACACACACCACTCATTCGTATTGTCCAGTATTAAATCACATATGCACATCGCTCTAACTTCATCCCTATTTAATGAAGAAGGTCCTAACAGTCTCGATCACACGTCGAACAAATCGGTACTTTTCTGTTTGCTGTTTACATATAATGTACACTGGCTTCATATCTATGGACTGCCAAACGATGTTTAATATTTTTACGAAAACCGACGTTTTTTAACTTAATTTTTTTTTGGATCTATTCCTGCATATTATGCTATAATGTGAATAAAAGAGACGTGGAATAATTCCTATAACCAAAGCAATGTTTTTATTAATGTTTATAAAACAATATTTTCTGTCTTGTTATGTACTAGAAGATAACACAGTTAGACCATGGACACCCCAGCACTAGTCAACATATCTGGAGTCTCCAATAGATCTGAGACAACACAGTCACAAGATGATCGGCTTTTTCTACAAGTAAAGAAGTTTAAAATTTATAGAGTACATTTCATGTATCAACAGATTTAAAATAAAGAATTTTTTGTTTTTAATGGTTTTAAAAAAACTAGTTTGTTGTCAAAGAAATTTAACTCTAGACTACATTCTAAAGAAAATGCGAGTCCATCATCTTGAATGTCCATCCCACTGTATGTCCTTTTGTATGTCCTCTTGTATGTCCTCTTGTATGTCCATCCTCCTGTATGTCCTCTTATATGTCCTCTTGTATGTCCTCTTGTATGTCCTCTTGTATGTCCTCTTGTATGTCCTTTTGTAGGTCCTCTTGTATATCCTCTGGATGTCCATTCTCTTGCATATCCACCCTCTTGTATGTCCTCTTGTATGTCCATCCTCCTGTATCTCCTGTATGTCCTCTTATATGTCCTCTTGTATGTCCTCTTGTATGTCCTCTTGTATGTCCTCTTGTATGTCCTCTTATATGTCTTCTTGTATGTCCTCTTGTATGTCCTATTGTATGTCCATTCTGTTATATGTCCAACCTCTTGTATGTCCTCTTGTATGTCCTCTTGTATGTCCTATTGTATGTCCATTCTGTTATATGTCCAACCTCTTGTATGTCCTCTTGTATGTCCTCTTGTATGTCTTCTTGTATGTCCTCTTGTATGTCCATTCTGTTGTATGTCCAACCTCTTGTATGTCCTCTTTTATATCCATCCTCATGTAAGTATATTTTTCCCTTGTAGCCCTTTTGGGATCTCCGCCTAGGCTACGAGAGCTACATGGAGTCACCGCTGTTTCCCGTTTTTCTCTCCGTGATCTTCTACTTCAGCCTGTGTTTGCCCTTCATGTTGTGTGATATCTACTGCAAGAACCAGAGATGGTACAAGAAGTACAAGATTCAACCGGACAAAGAGGTCAGTGAGGGAGAAGTAATTTTATCTGGCCACTTCTCTATGGAATAACTTTATTTGGCCTCTTCTCAGTTTGTGGGAAAAATAATTTTATCTGGCCACTTCCCTATTTGTGGGATAATTTTAACTGGCCACTCCATATTCTGTGAAAGAAATATATTTATCTGGCCACTATTCTATTTGAGAATTAATTTTAACTGGCCACTCCATATTCTGTGACAGAAATAATTTTATCTGGCCACCTCCCATTCTGTGAATTTTATCTGGCCACTTCTCAGTTTGTGAAAGTAAACAAAAATTAACAAAGGTCGTGCGAGGAGAATGCCACTTGTCAGTGGAGAAATAAGACCTAGATGAATTATACAAATGCCATTCGGCAATAATATTAACAACACACTAATCACTGCCGATATGCCAGCATTTTGCGCACCCTATTGATATGAGCTAAAGTTATCTGCTATACATTACCCTAAGTTCCTTACAGTATATGGAAGTCAACCCTTATGATATATATTCCTTCTTGAGAAAGATTTTCTAGAGTCAAACAACTTAATTCAACGAATCAACGAATCATTTTAATTACACAAAATTAAAACAAACAAATGTGTGCATGGTGTATTCCACAGATAACAAAGGAGCAAATCTACGACACCTTGACCTTGACCTTCTGGAACCACATCCTGTTCATCATGCCAGCCGCCGTGGGTCAGTGGATCTGGACCCCTGCGACCCCCCTCCCCCACCTAGCCCCAACAGTCTTTGACTTCTGTTGGCACCAGTTGGCCGGGCTGTTTATATTTGACTTCCAGTACTATGTGTGGCACATGTCGCACCATAAGGTGAGCTGACGGTAGTTGGTACTACCCGAGACATACATAATTTATTTGCTTGACTCGCGCTTTTCGATTTCGAATTCGAAATCATTTTAGCATTCATCATCATGGACACACGGTTCAGATGATGCAGAGTTGGGTGGACTCAGTGTCGTCTTGGGTAGGCACAGCGCCGTCTTACAGATTCAAGCCCGTGATGCGAACTTGAGACTTTCAAGTTAACAGTCGGGATCTCTACTGTCCGACCACGCCGTCCCTCTCATTTTGGTATTGATACCATATAAACATTTTAATCTGTACTATTCCACAACACGAATTATAAACACAGTGGAATACTGAAGTCATTGAGATCTACTAGAATTCGATCAACAAAAACACGAAACAGAAACTTTGGTTAGACTTCGGTAAAGTTTTCAAACTAACTGTTCCCTACTACAAATTTAAATGTTGGTACACTCAGTCTTCTAAAGCCAAACATAAAACAATGTTTTCTAGCGTTCCATTTTTTTCATTAACATTCTAATATAATGTCTCAGTATGTTTTTCCCCCATTGAATATAATAACAAAAATATGCAGCAGATAAAAATTCTTAAAAAACACACACAAAACAAAAAACAAACAACTACAACATATGAAGGTAGAGGCTTCAAAAACGCAAGTACAACCCATTCTTCTTCCATTAAACGCTGAAACTGGTAGCTACGCCTCTGATTATATAGCAAAGTAATCATAACTTTATGTTTGTTGATAGACTAACACGCCTGTCAAAGTAATCAGAAGAACACACCCGAATCATCAACTGTAACGTGTTACATTTTAATTCCGAGTTCGAACCCTGGCCTTGACCTAGTTTCAACCAGACAATTCAACAAAAAACTCCCATCTCCTATCTGTTACGTAACTCACGACTCGACAAATGTTGACCGATGTAGTTCATCTGTATTGGTTATCGATTAGGGACCAGTGTATCGATAACACCGAGGTGAAGTCATCAGAGAGTATAATTATCTGGGTAGATAACAGGTATCTGTCGCGTCAAAATACAGCTCTGTAGGTTAACACTGATACCTGTAATTTGACCACAAAGTTTGCCGACCTGGTTTGATTTATTAAGAAAAACAATTTAAACACTGCTGATAAATCTATCGAATGGTAGATCGATTGACTGCTAACCAGAAAGTCTCGAGTTCGGATCCCGGGCTAGAGGGATCATTATGGCGCCTCTAGGTCCACCCAGCTCTGATGGGTACCTAACTCACGTTAGGGAATGTAAAGGCGGCTGGACATAATGCGTTAAAATGCGAGGTCACTGAAACCGGTGAACTCTACTTCACCAGCACCATGGAACGTACGGTTCGCAAGGGCACTTAACAAACAAAAAACCTTTTAATGGAAAATTATTGAAAAGTAACTTTACTATTACAATAATTTAATTCAAATGAAACTATACTATTACCATAAGTGAGTTCTAATTATTTTCAAATTGTGTATTTCGTCTTTAATTCTACTATTGTCAGAATTGTACTGGAATGTAACTTTACTAGTGCTAAAAAGTCAACTGTAACTTGTCACAATGTGATTGAGATATTAATTTTACTAATGCCAGAATGCTATTAATGTGTAACATTACTACACCCAGAATGTAATTAAGATGTAACTATAATACAGCCAGAATGTAATTAAGATGTAACTATAATACAGCCAGAATGTAATTAAGATGTAACTATAATACAGCCGGAATGTAATTAAGATGTAACTTTACTACAACCAGAATGTAATAGAATGATGTGATTTTACTACAACCAGAATTTAATTAGGATGTAACTTTACTATAGCCAGAATGTAATTAGGGTGTAACTTTACTACAGCCAGAATGTAATTTAGGGTGTAACTTTACTATAGCCAGAATGTAATTAAGATGTAACTTTACTATAGCCAGAATGTAATTAAGATGTAACTTTACTACAACCATAATGTAATTAGGGTGTAACTTTACCATTCCCAGATCCGCTTCCTGTACCGCCACATCCACGCCGTCCACCACCGCTACAACAGCCCGTTTGTCTGGGTCACTCAGTACCTGCACCCGTGGGAGCTGGTCACGGTCGGGTTCCTGACCACAACAAACACCTGGTTCTTCAACTCACACCCCTTGACCGTCTGGAGGTAACTCTTTTATGCACAACACAACTCTTCCCACAAAGTTTACAATAATTAAAATATAACCTTTTTCTAATCCATTTGAAGGAATTATGCCCGTAGCTAAAAAAATGTACCATACATCAAGCTTAGAAAATGAAATACATCTGATTAGCTGAACATTGCCTGTTTCATGTTAGTCTTATAGACCTAGGAATTTTTCAAATCTGAATAGGAAAAAAAAATATAAATACAGGGGAAGCAACCATGATTTACTTAACTTATAACTTTTTATGTGTCATCTCCCTTATTCTAAGCGAAAATACGATATGCATCATTTGGGATTGGCATTTCAGAAAGATCAGCAGTGACCCTTTATTTTTTAGCTACATAAAACACTATTAACCCTTTATTTTCTAACTACCCGAGAACACCATTAACCCTTTGTATTCCAGCTACATGATCATGAGCATCGTCGTGAGCGTGGAGGCCCACATCGGCTTCGACTTCCCTTTCCTCCTCCACAACCTTGACCCCACCGGCACCATCGGCGGCTCCCCCAAACACGACATGCACCACCAGAAACCGCTGACCAACTACCAGCCGTTCTTCAACCACTTCGACAAGCTGTTTGGTTCCTTCTGTCCGGCCATGAGCGCAGGGGGGAAGAAGAGCAAGGCATTGCAAGACTACGAGAGAAGGGCCAGGGACTGCAAGAAAAATTTGTAGTTCTGATATTATTTTTGTTTCGTTAAAAAAACTTGGCAGGGAAATGCGGAATCCATAATTTTTAAACGTGTAGAGAAATATTTACTTCAGCTTAGGTTAGGCTGAGATTAGTTTAAAGGTAGACTGTGCAATAATTAGGTCAAAAGGTGACGTATGCTTAGTAATGCACTAGTTACTAAATTTATATTTATACGAATATTCAATTAATTTTACTCCTGAATAAGAATCGTTGTATTAAAACCGCCATGAAAAAATATAGATCTACCCATTAATTTCAATATTTCAAATTTTTAAGACGGCATATTTTACTCCAAAAAAAAAAAAAAAAAAAAAAAAAAAAAACCAACTTTCACATAGTGGCGAGAAGAGAGAAGTTTATCCAGATTACAACCTACATATTATCTTTACACACTCTACCCATTGCCCTGCCAATCCTTTATGTACTTGTTGATAATAGTTGATCCGATCTTCCTTCGCCAATTCAATGCAAACTGTACTGAAAAAATTCCGCTGTGTGATGTCCTGATACTGGCTCTATGACGATTTGATCTCAGCTGATGGTGTAGTAGCCTACACACTTTTCATTAAGCAGTGTGTACTAATAATAGTGAAGATAATGATGATGCTTACAGTAAAATAAAAAAAAAACTGATTATGATAAAATTGAAATATAACCATAAAATATAAGATGGTACATTTAACCCAAATCTTCAAATATGTGAATTTTAGAACCTCCGAGACTGTTTTGCGAAAAGAAACCAGTTAAATATTTATAAATTTTTGTTAGTTGATCTCACATTAATTAGTTGACAAAAACAGACACTTCGGTCTAGTGATTTGCTACTAGAATTATGATTCTGGGATCAAATCCGAACGAGCCAATGCCAGACATTTTTATGTCAGCCACCTTCACTTGATTGAAAGTTTTAACAGATTTTAAAATTAAAAATAAATTAATTTCATATTGTTGTATATATCCATGACAAGTAACGCATGATTTGTTAGCTTTATGTGCCATAGTGTAATGTATATCTTCTTCTAATTCAGCACTACATATTTCAAAATGTAAATGATTTAGTGTTGAATTGAAGTCAAGTTATTTTACTTTTGTATTACTACAATTAAAAATCAGCAATGATAAAACACGTTTTTGATGATGTTCTGTAACCAGTCAAAACTAATTAAAAAAAAATTCTCATATTCATTTGTGCACCTTCGTACTAACACACTGTTCAATACAAATATTCGTCACGTGATATTTTAGTACCACCTACAAGTAATTGTGTAACACCCTAGACGTGGCTCCTCTCGCTAGCCTAACAACAGCAGAGGTTTGTAAGCACCCGTTTAAATCATCATCAACTTTTTCCCGTTCGTGCCCAAGACACATGGGACAGACGAAGTAGAGTTTTTCAGTGACCTCGGCTAATGACGGAATAGTGTCCGTGTGGTCAGCACTATAACCAGCCGCCTTAACTTTCCCTAACGTGAGTTAGGTCCCTATCAGAGCTGGGTTGACTCAAGGACGTTCTACAGCTAGGCCACGCATCCGACATCAGTTTAAATAGTTTCACAAAATGATTGTTTTATTTTGTGTGTGTGTGTGTGTGCAATGCTAACAGTTTAATGACATAGCTCTGTATAGCTGCAGCTATTGATGAATTGGTGGGCATGCATTCACATATTTAATAAAAGTTGCTTAAGTTAACAACAACAGCAACATCAACAGCAGCAAAAAAACAATAATACGTTAAAAATCGCTGCTCAAGTATATAGCATAAGGTAGTGAATAAAATTAGTGGGCAGCTAATTAGTTCTGGATTCACTTTTTAAAAATCTATTGGGTTTTTTTAACATTTAGTTTAGCTTGTCATTTTATACCGACTGGTGAGATCACAATTTGTGTACACCTTCGTACACAGTCGTACTAATGTCCATTGTACTTCTATTGGACTTCTGTAGACCCCTACTTGTATTTTTAAAAATGTTAAACAATGCTGCGGGAAATCTTTAATGATGAATGCAGGAAAGATGTTATTTTACTGATTTTTTAAAAACTTGAGTTTAATGTTTAGTAAAAAAATATATTTTGTTTGTTTAAATACATTTATTGTTATAGAATTTATTTAATTACTAAAACATCATTTCCTTTTGTTTTTGCTTTTTGTTTATTACATTTTTGTTTGCTCGTTTTCTTTATTTATTTTATGAGAATGCAATATAATCGCGCCAAGTGCAAATATTGTGAATTCTCTCCCCTGACAATGATAAATTGAAGCGGTGCATTGTAGTCTGGCTATGCTCAGTGAGATTTTCTCAAGATCCAGGTTTTAGATTCGACGTGGAGAAAGGGTTGATCGTAGAATTAGTGACACAATAAGAAATTAACCTCATCTTCAACTTAGAAGAAACAATTTTAATTTGACCGGTAAGTGTATTCAAGGCGTGCTGGGTAGAAAACAATTTACACGGGTAGTCCAGTTTTAGATAAAAAAAAAAATAGTTCCTTGCTGTGTGATGTGCAAATAAACACACAGCCATAACTACAACATACTTCGTTACATATATTAAAGTACACTGGGACAGACCCTGGCCCTGGTTATAGAATGTTACAGACCCCCACCACCATAGAATGCAACAGACCCCCACCATAGCATGTTACAGACCCCACCACCATAGAATGTAACAGACCCCCCCACCATAGAATGTAACAGACCCCCACCATAGCATGTTACAGACCCCCACCACCATAGAATGTAACAGACCCCCCACCATAGAATGTAACAGACCCCCACCATAGCATGTTACAGACCCCCCACCATAGAATGTAACAGACCCCTCACCATAGAATGTTACAGACCCCCCCCACCATAGAATGTAACAGACCCCCACCATAGCATGTTACAGACCCCCACCAACATAGAATGTAACAGACCCCCCCACCATAGAATCCAACATACCCCCACCATATAATGTAACAGACCCCCCCCCCCACCATAGAATGTAACAGACCCCCACTATATAATGTTACAGACCCCCACTATAGATGTAACAGACCCCCACCATAGAATGTAACAGACCCCCACTATATAATGTAACAGACCCCCACTATAGATGTAACAGATCCCCACTATAGAATGTAACAGACCCCCACCATAGAATGTAACAGACCCCCACTATATAATGTAACAGACCCCCACTATAGATGTAACAGACCCCCACTATATAATGTAACAGACCCCCACTATAGATGTAACAGACCCCCGCTATAGATGTAATAGACCCCCGCCATGGCACGAGATAGACCCCCGCTATAGAATAACGAGCACACATCTCATCAATACACATGACATTCACCTACACCATGCAAGTAAGAGATGACACAAGCCTGGCCTCACAATGTGAGCTACGCCGCAAAAACACGGAGCTGCCAAAAAAAAATATTGCATGTTGTTACTAAAATATTAAATAACTCATTCTGAAATACTTATTATGCCTAATTCTTTAATACTTTGTAATCACATTTTAAAATAAAAATGCAATTTTTCAATTTACACCATTTCAGTAAGAAAAAAAACATAACACTTGAAATAGACCTAAAACAGTGAAAGAGTATTAAGCTTACAATCACTTAAACTTTATTTAAAAAAAATGATAAGTTGAATGATAACCGAAATTTAACATAGCTTTGACTAAAATTTGTTAAGTATAGAATCAGTGTTAAGTTTTCATACTTTTTTTTTTACTTTGACAAAATAGTTTATTTAACTTTATAAATTAAACGTTTTGGTATGATTTCACATATTGTGATGATGATTTGAAAAGGTTTTAAATGAGGTGGTTTTGTAAAGCGGAAGTCTAATTAGGATAGTTGCACCAGCTAAGAGATAGACGATGAAACTTTGCGTTAATTAATTACAAATTACACTAAAATTGTCATTAATTACAGGATTTGAGTAATAAAATAAGAATAAGAAAAAATACAAATAGCGTTTATGAAACATATTCAAGCTTAGATATGCTTATTTAACTTAGTGACAGGCTTCAATGTTTTTTAGTGAAATTTTATGTATTAGTATCTGGTAACATGAGTTGGCTGTTACAGTTTTCTTCTTCTTCGTTCTTAATTTTTAGTGTTGGGAGGGATCGAGCCTTATCTGCCAGAGGGTTTTGATACTCGAGACTTTTTTTCGAATTTATCAACCATGAGCTTTGCCGACTCGACCACGCCTCCATCACAATTAAGGATTATGCGCCATTGAGGCCATTTTTCTTTTTGGATTTGCTTCCATAGCCTTTGTCCAACCAAGAACAAACTACAAGGCAGCAGTTATTTGATTTTGGAGTTGTCTCTCCTAGAAGGGTGGCTCTCCCCAGCTAACGAGCCTCGTCTGCCCGAGGGTTCGAACTCAAGACTTTTCTGTATAGCAACCACGAGCTTTACCGACTCGACCACGCCGGCCGGTTACAGTAATATCTTCAACTTCTAAGCAAGTTGATTACAATTTGCTGATGCGGACGTCAGGTTTTTCGACGCTTCTTTGAAGTATGGATTGTGATTTCAAACATGTTTGTATGTTGCACAATAATTTGCCATAATTTTAAACAGAGATTTGCCTTGACTTAAGAGGGTGGATAATGATTTTAAAAAGTCGAACAACTTTCACAAAAATATGCCATAATTTTAAACAGAGATGCGTCTAGACTTTAAAGAATGGATAGTGATTTTAAAAAGTCGAAAACTGTCACAAAAATATGCCATGATTTTAAAACAGAGATGCGCCTAGACTTTAAAGAATAGATAGTGATTTTAAACATGTTCAATGACTTTAACAACAATTCGCCATAATTTTAAACAGAGATGCGCCTTGACTTTAGCCTTAATGTCGCATTGAGTTCATACACAGACTATTCTTGATGTCCGCCATGGATTCGCCTTGATTTCTTTCCGAACGAAGGTCAACTCCGTGCCCTGTTTGATCTGAGTTCCTATTGAAGCTATACAGCGCCCTGCTCCTTCTCTACACCCCTCGACCTGCGCCACCCTAGCCTCTCTCGTGACAGCATCACGTGCTCCCCCCCTCCCCCACCCCCACCTCACCTTAAATGACGCTCAGCACGAGCGGTCCGCCTATCCCGGCTCGGAGAACAAAAAAACCTCAGCGTCACTACCCAAGCTAAGCCCCGCCTACTTTTATGCCAGAAACTCTGGAACCGCGGCCTGAATTCTCTCGACATGCGCTCAAACTTTGGAATGCTTACCACGAGACGAGGTACCGGACCGGCGTAACGCAGTGGGAGTCGTCCTTGGCACGGGTCACGTAGAGTCAATCACTCAGTGACGCCCAGAAGTTTCAAATTGACACTCGCGGAGTCGGCCGATAGTATCAGATGGCATCCAAGAGTTCAGGACATTATTGATATATCAGTACCAGTACTGACTGCATATTTTTGCTGCTTGTGGTACAGAAAGATAAAAAGCTGGTTCTTTTTTAAAGAGTGATATTAAAATCTGAGGAGGATATTTCTTACCATACTGTTGTATGGAGTGATTGTGGACGTATTTGCATTTTTTCACAAGTTCAACTATTTAAAAAGCATATTGTGATAATATATTTTATAAATTTAGTTTCATGAGTGTTTTTTTACAATGTTCAAAAGTGTTCCAAAATTGATACTCGTATGAAAATCTTTATTTTAAACAAAATTTTATCAATTGATATAATTTATAGCTAAAAGGTAAGAGAACATTTTTTTTCTTTAAAAAAAATCACAAATTGTAAATGTCATGTTAATTTTAAAACGTGATAACACGCTTATAATGTATTTTCTAATAACACATGATAAATCATGTAAATTTTAAAATTATGATAAAATTCTTAAAATTCTAAAAACGTTTTTGTTTTCTCGTGCAGGTTAGCACTTAGGAAAATGTCATCAGATGGAATGATGTCATCTGAGAGAAAGCTGACATCCGAGAAACAAATGTCATCAGAAAGAATGTTGTCATCGGATGAATGTCAAGAAAAATCTGATACTGTCTCAGAAACAGGCACCGTAGGTTATATATCACCTGTGGTCAAAGACTCCACCAGTACCTCGAGTTCCAGATTTCCGGTATCACCTGTGGTCAAAGACTCCACAATTTCCCCAAGCTCTAGACTCTCTTTCTCCATAGACAGCATTCTGTCGACTCCATTTAAATCCTCCCCCAAACTCCACAACCTCACAGTGTCAGAGAGCATCACGAAACACGATCAGAGATACTCGGATCTTGACGCAAGCAGCGACGCCAACACCAAAGACATATCACGCTGCGGCGTGACAACAGATCTAGAAAAACGTGACATTGATGTTGAAATAGACGTAACATCGGACGAAGATGACACGATCGCCGTCGATTTCGGAAATATAATAGATAAAGACAGTTCTGATGAGAGGGGGGACGATAAAGACAACACGGAAGATAACGCAGACGATGAAAAAGAAATTGGAAGAAACTTAACCCAGAAGACGACATTGAACACAACATCCAGGCTTCCCGGGCTTGTGCACGGGCCTGCTACGGCGGACCTGACGTGTAAGTACCGATTCGGTACCGAGCCCCACCCTGGCAGGAAGGTGCTGTACGGGTCAGACCAGCTGACCAGCGTGAACTCACCTTACAGAAGATACCCTGCCCCGTCGGCGACGTTTGGTGCCCCCGGGCATGACATCACGGGCATGGATATGTGCCATGCGCTGGATTACAGGTAATTAATTCTTCATTAATTACGTTTAAACTTCACTCACACAATATTTTTATTTAATTAAAACAAATTACTATAATGCGAGATCAAAAACAGAAGCACTTTTGATGTTATCTATTTCTGTTAGGTTTTTATTTTCTGAATGAAAATGCATGATGATAGAGATCTTTTAACATTTTAATTGTTTTGAGCTTCTAACTTCTCATATACCCGGCAATTCCTATATAAAGCTATTCTTAAAATCAAACTATTGCCTCAAAATGTTACAAACTATTCCCAGAACAAACATTTCCCCACAAAAAACTATTCTCAATTCATACTATTCCCACAACAAACTATTTTCACAACAAACTAT